ACACAGACACAGACACAGACACAGACACAGACACAGACACAGACACACACACACACACACACACACACACACACACGTCTTAGGTCGGTGGATGCACACCACTGACCCAAGGATGGTAGTGTGGACATGCACCACCACAGTAATTACTGCAGTGGCTGTAAATCGATCTAATATAGGTCAACTTAGGTTTGTAGGATAGACATACCCTATGGTTGTACAGCACCTAGTACAGTGACACTCCAATCCTGATTGGGGCCTTTGAGTGTTGTCATAAAATAAATATTCACTACTACTACTACACATTACTTATTGGCTTTTAAAATCCAATTAAAAAAGAGAGCACTTTTAATTTCACAATCACTGAGACATATTACGAGCAGGGAGCTGGGCTTTTCTCAGTAATAACTTCTGGTTTGTGTCACATCTGTAACATGAAAAGAAAGAACATCTAAATCTATTCTTTGGTATCTTAACTGCAAATTGCTGTTTTGTGTTGAACTTGCTGTGATGTAGATAACGTATGGCTATGCAAATCAACTGGACAGTGTGTACAGACTGAACAAAGCAAATGTAATTTGATTTTTTTTTTAATTAAATATGTTGCAGATCAAGAGGCAGGTATTCAGCTGGTGTAAATCTGCTGGAGTCAGTGGAGCTGTCCATACTACACCAGAGGAGAATCTTACCGCAAACATTTAACTGAAAATTATACTGATTTGTATAGCAAAACTAGTCACTAGTTACATGGCTGCTGCTACAACACTGCAAAAAAACTAGTTAACAGGGTTTTTTCCCACCCCTTAAGGTTACAGTAATACAGATTCAGCGAACACATATCTGGTGTCGGACAGAGAATATTCACTTCATGGCTACATTATCCATTGTAATGACCGCCTTTGGCATCTCTTTACACACCTGGAGGCTGCTGTCAAAGAGGGGACCATGCAGACCCATCAGGCTTTTGGAAAGGAAACAGAGGACTTGTTTCAGGTAATGCAGACTCTGGTCCTTATTTTGTCTTTATGCTACTTGTGCACTGAAGAACAGGAAATCATTATCAAGTTGGAAAAACCATAGGGCCCAGAAAAATTGACTAATGAGAATTGTAGATTGAGCATGTCGTCACACAGATTATCATAATCTAGGAATGTGAATAAACGATCAGAAATGTCTCAAATACCAATATATTTGACTCTTTACGGCCCTGATCCTGCTCCCATTAAAGTCAATGGCAAAACTCACATTGACTTTAATGGTGCAGGATTGGGCGGTAGGGTGCTGAGGCAATTGGAATGTCACAGTGTAGTTACCAAAACCCAGAATTAATATCTACAACATATGTACTTCATCTCTCCTGAAAGCTTGTCATCCAAAACTGATTTCAGCAGAAGACCAGAAATATTTCAGCATTTTTATAGTGGAATTGAGACAAGATCTGAGCTTAACTTTGCTCCTGACCAGAATCTGCTTTGACACCAAACTTATTCTTCCTTTATCTGAGCATGTCTATAAATCTGCCTTGCATTGATTCAAAGATTTTTCAGAATTCTCCTTCCCTTGAGTCTCCCTCTAAGTATTTGTCTCATTTATTTCTATCTCATGTGCAATTAGGGTCATATGTATCATGCCATTTGTAGCTTTGCAAGGACTGTACAATTTACCCCTTTGCCAATATTCTCTTTGCACTACAAACACCCCACAAAGGCCACTCCCCTGCCATATTTTCTCTCGCATTTTGTGCGCTTGTCACAGAAGGGGGCTGGAGTTGATGGGGGGATGGGGAAGCAGAGGGCATGCAGCACCATGGGTGGCAGAGGTCCAGGAGCTAATGGATTGTCTGTGTAGAAGAAGCTTGGAGGAGTGTAGGGACTAGGAGTTTCTTTCTGCAAGGTGCTGAGCGCCTCTTGGGAGGTGTTGGACTGCCCTTGATGGGAGAATATTGACTTGAAGATACTGAGCAACCCTGTCAAGTGCTTGCATGAACTTGGGGGATCGGAATACACTTTTTCCCTGTGCACCATGACAGCAGTGGAGATCAGTTGATGCACTCTCATTTCCAGGCTCTAGATTTGAATATCAGGAAGCCAGGGGCAGCTGTTTCCATTGAAAAGCCCTCACCTCTGGAATGTGCTTCCTACATTCACCTGGTACACTGTGCCAAGGTCACACTCTGATAAAGCCCAACCGTTTGCTCAGGTTTCACCCACATTTGAAGGGTAAGACTGAGTCGGTTTACTTTCACATCAGTCAGTTACTCTTGTTCTGTGTGTAACATTTATGTAGTTGTGCTTAGAGGGATGGTGAGAGGCTTTGGCACATTTTTAAAAATCATGGACTATCTCCTCTCACCCAAGAAATTTAGCGTTTTATAAGCATTAGCTAATCAATTCTGTCAGCATCATTTAGGTAAGTATTCCCATTTTACAGTTGCACAAACTGTGGCATACATAGGGTAAGTGACTCAGTTACGGTCTCACAATGAGTATATCTACTAGGCATTTATTTATCTTTATTTCATTTCCCTATGATAGTCTTCCCAAATTCCTCTTTTCCAAACTTCAGGGAATCAGGAATGCTATAGCCAAACTTCTCTCTGCCTCAGGAAGGGAGATTGTATTCCTTCTTAGATGGCCCAGAATTCCATTGCAAACTACCTTCTAGGTTTTCCAAACTCTTTGGGCTTTCTCCACACACTTTAGCTGCCTTTCTCTAGCACAGTGTTTCTCAAACTGGGGTCGCCGCTTGTGTATGGAAAGCCCCTGGCAGGCCGGGCCGGTTTGTTTAGATGCCCCTTCCGCAGGTCCAGCCGATCACGGCTCCCACTGGCCACGGTTCGCCGCTGCAGGCCAATGGGGGCTGCTGGAAGTGGCGGCCAGTAGGTCCCTCGGCCCGCACCGCTTCCAGCGGCTCCCATTGGCCTGCAGCGGTGAACTGCGGCCAGTGGGAGCTGTGATCGGACGGGGCAGGTAAACAAACCGGTCCGGCCTGCCAGGGGCTTTCCCTACACAAGTGGCGACCCCAGTTTGAGAAACACTGCTCTAGCATGATCAGTAGTCTACTTCCATCTACACTACCATCTTTTCTCTGTGTCTCTTCTCAGTTGAGAGGGTGGAACACGCTCGCTTCTTCAACTGGGTCCATTTTTTTCCCCCTCCTTTCGCTCAGCCAGTTAGCCTCTCTGAAATTTCAGATTAATACAAAAATATACTCTGCTCTGCTCTGCACTGAAAATCACTGCTGGAGCCCAGGAAAGCAATCTGTTAAGAAGCCATTTCTTTTCTTTATATAACTTCCAGTTACATAATGCCTGCTAAGAAGTTCCTGCTGCCAAAGAGTTATAGATATAAATAAATGTCAGCATTCAATGAAAACAGTTAGGAAACATAGCAGGAAAAAACAACCCCAAAACAATTTAGATGCAAAGATTCACTCCTTTCTCTCAAAATAAGTTTACAGTATAAACGGACCCCTAGCTCTCTTGAATGGAGCTTAATTATTATATAAATGCATATGCCACAGGTATAACTGGTTAAAGAAAGCATTTTGTTATCCCCTGATGGATTGCCTCTTTCTCTGTGCCATACTGCCCTGGCTCCAGCCAGCAGGGGTGCTCAAGCCGGATTCCCATCCTTATAAAAGAGGGGGCAGTTGGCAGGTCGTTTTTTGGAAGGTCTCCAGAACTCTGGAGCTTAGTCCAAAATAATCGGCATTTGGTAACCTTCCTAGCATGCTGGAAAAGAAATTTGTTTGATCAGGTTTTTAGAATGGGCTGAGGGTATGCTTCCCACAATGATGAAGGGGAGGAAAGGACTTGTAGGTGGCTGGCTGGCTAGTTCCTATTGAATTGATCATTTAAAATCTGCTTAGATTGAGTTATTAGAGAGACAGGCTGGGTGAGGTAATATCTTTTATTGGACAACTTCAGTTAGTGAAAGAGAGTAGCTTTCGAGCTACACAGAGCTCTTCTTCAGGTCTGGGAAAGGTACTCAGTGTGTCACAGCTAAATACAACGTGTAACAGATGTTAACTACTTAAGCTAAACAATCTATTATAAGAGACCATTCAAAATGAAGTGAACAGTTAACACCTCTGCAGTCATATGACAAAAAAGGGGGGTTACAAATTGTTGTAATAAGCCAATGACAATTAAGACAATTATTTTTCAGGTATAGCAAAGTTATGAATTTAAGCTCCCAGGCTCATGTTTTTCAAGGTATTATGCAGGTCCCTTTTGAGGATGAGGACTGAGAAGTCAGATATGGAGTGATTGTTCTGTGAAAAGTGTTCACCCACTGGTGTTAAGGTGTTTTTTGGCTTTTTTCTGTGTGAGTTCATTTGAGAGTTGGTGATTGTCTGGTTGTTGTTGGGGCATTTAGTGCACTGGTTGAGGTAAACCACATGTTGTGATAGGCATGTGTAGGACCCATGGATGTTGAAAGGTGTGTTGTGTAGGTATTGATCATCGTAGCAATGGAGGTATGTCTGCAGGTTTTACACCTGTTGTTCTGGAAGGGTCTGGTGCCACTTTGAGTTGGTGGGTACTGGTCTACGGGGAGCTTGTTTCTGATGTTTAGTGTGGGTTATAATTGATACCCCCTATGAGTTCCAGTGTGTGGTGATAGGTGAGAACTAGGGGTGTGAGGCTAGAGGCTTTTTTTACTTCTGTATTGAAGCAGGTTCTATTTGGGTAGTCTCTTCTATGATGCAATCTACTTCCCTGGTGGAATGTCATTATTTGGTGAAGGCATCCTTAAGTGTGCTAAGGTGTGTATCCCGGACTTTCTCCTCGGAGCACATTCTGTGGTATCTGAGTACCTGGCTGTAGATAACCAATTTCTTGGTGTGTTTGAGGTGATTACTGGATCTGTGAAGGTAAGTGCAGTGATCGTGGGTTTCTTGTGTGTTGCTGTCTGTAGGGTTCCATTGTTGAAGCTGATCGTGGTGTCCAGGAAGTTGATGCAGGTGCAGGAATGTTCTAGAGAGTTGGATGGATGGGTGGTGGTTGCTGAAGTTGTGATGGAAATCTGTGATCAGAAATGTGTTAACTACTTTTGCTAAACAATCTGTTCCAATCTTAATACAATCTTGTATTTAGCTGTGACACTCTGCATACATTTCCCTGACCTGAAGAAGAGCTCTGTGTAACTCGAAGGCTTGTCTCTTTCACCTACAAAACTTAGTCCAATAAAAGATATTACCTCACCCACCTTGTCGCTCTCATATTCTGGGACCAATGCAGCTACTACAACAACAGTGGCAAATACCATAGATTGAGTTATGGTATTAATGGTGTGGTAGAGCACCGAGACCCTTGGATAGGCATCTTTTCAGTTGTTTAAATCACAATAAATTAAGTGCATAAATAAAATCTTTGTATTCTGTTTTTAAGGATTCCTGTTATCACAGTGTGGAGGCAAAGCAGCGTTTCATGACTGCCATGCATAGCATTGCGAAATTGACAGCAAGAGACGTGGCAACATCTTTTGATCTTTCACCGTTTAGATCTGTCTGTGATTTGGGAGGTATTGCTACTAGACTGACTTGTATACAAATTAATGAAATATACGTACATCATAGTTTTAAGAAAATCTAATAAAAAATTACAATTGTTGCTCTCTAACTGGTAAATTTTCTGCTGTTATTAGCTTTGATAGAAAGCTAAAATGAAGTTAAATGGAAGTACACTAGCTTAAAATACTGTTCATTTACTTTGAGTATGGCTGTTAAGTGGGGGAGGGGTTTTCCCCCAGGAGAAGCAATGTGGTTCAGTAGCTGGGACTGGGAATTCCATTTCTAGCTCCGCCATTGCCTTACTGTGTGATCTTCACATGTTAATTATGTCAAGATTTTCAGAAATGATTGACGTTTGGATGCCTCTATTTTTGGTGCAAAACTTGAGTTAGTTTAAAGGGGCCTGCTTTACAGAGGGTTTACAGAGCATTTTCTGAAATCCAGGGCCCTTTCAGGTGTCTTATATTGGACACCCAAAATCACTAATCACTATTGAAAATCTTGACCTTGGTCACTTGTAAAATGCTTATCCACCTGTGTAAAGAACTTGGAAAAGCACTATGGAAGTGCTAAATATTAAACTGATTAAAGCAGGGATTGGCAACCTTTGGCACGCGGCACGCCAGGGTAAGCAGCCTGGCGGGCCGGGCCGGTTTGCTTACCTGCCGCATCTGCAGGTTTGGCCGATCGCAGCTCCCACTGGCCGCAGTTCACCGCTCCAGGCCAATGGGAGCTGCGGGAAGCAGCGCAGGCCGAGGGATGTGTTGGCCGCCGCTTCCCACAGCCCCCATTGGCCTGGAGTGGCGAACCGCGGCCAGTGAGAGCCGCGATCAGCCAAACCTGCGGACACGGCAGGTAAACAAACCGGCCCGGCCTGGCGGGCCGCATGCCAAAGGTTGCCGATCCCTGGATTAGAGTTAAAATTGTAATTGAATTTAGAAAATTTTAAAACTTTCAGACACAAAATCTCAAATTGGATACAAATCCAAGATGCCCCCTACAAGTATTTGGTATTGTTTTGTAGCTTAGCACTGCAATGTTCCAATTCCAGTCCTCAAAGGGATCCAATTGGAGAACCACCATTCTCCAGGGCACACTGTCTGTAGGAATCAGCATGGAGTTAATGCTATTGCTAGCTCTGCCTGCACCTCCACAGAGAGGGTGTATTATGCAGGCAAAAGACTGCGTAAAAGAGAGTTCCTGAGAGAACTGTGCTGCCCAGGGGGTGGGAGGGTGGACAGCACATAGGGACCAGCACACTCCACGGTTGGAACTGCTTTTACCAGTGAACCTCCACAGAGCTTGGTGCTCCTACTCCTTTCCTTGCATCCTGTGCCCCCCAACAGGAGCACTATTCAAACTATACAAGAATTACCTTGCAGTAATAATAATGCCTAGCTCTGCATCCATAGATTACAAAGGAGGTCAATGTCATTAATCTCAGGGAAACTGAGGCACAGAGACAGTAAGTGACTTGCCCACATAGATCCAGCAGGCTAGTGGGAAAGCCAAGAATAGAACCTAGGTCTCCTTAGTCCCACTCCAGACCTGTGTCCACGAGGCAACACTAGCTCCCATGTCCCCTGTAGAGTCTCTTGGCCACCCCATCCTTAACTTAGTGCTGTTGTAGTCGGGTAAGGTATAATATGAACTTTTAAAATGTCTGCAGATACAAAGGAAAAGGTTCATTTAGTTATTTTTTACTTACTACAGGTTGCACTGGAGTTCTGGCCCATGAGCTAGTACAAAAATACCCAAACCTAAACATAACTGTATTTGACCTTCCAGACGTCATTGCAAATGTCTCTTGCTTTCAGCCTTCAGGACAGCACATAACTCCAGTGATGTTCACAGCAGGTAACTAACTATTAGGCTGCCAATCCTGGTTCACTGTGCAGCATGGCCAGAACACACTGGTCTGCTCCAGCGAAAGCGTAAGCAGAAGCTATGTCTGGGGGCAAACAAGGTTAAGCACAAGGCAGAATCCTCCATGTTGAGTGAAAGTCTTGGGTCCTTGCATGTTCCTTCATTTCCTCATAAGACAGCAGGGTAAAAAGAGACTGGGTGAGAGTGGAAAATAGTGGTGGACTGAGGAGACATGGCTTAAGTGACACCAGTGAGGGGCCTGACTGGACACTCCTCCTGTGTATGCCGTATTAACTTGCTTGAGGATACTTCCATTACCAGCACAATTCCATTTCACTTCTTGACTCAGGCTTCTACACGGTTCATAAACTTTACAGTATTCTTGACATGAATTGTCCTTCTCTCACCATGTCTTCTGTAACTGCAAATCAAAATATTAGATGTGTAGCACAGTGCATAACCAGTGCTGAAGTCTTTATTCATGACTTCATGTCTTCTTAACTATTGAAACTCCCTTTACTTTGGCTCACCAGTTCTGAGTTCTGAATTCCAGCAAATGTAGGAAGTTGCATACAGAAAAACCTGTCCCCATCACCTCTACTGACTCCCTATTTTTTTCAGGATGCAAGCTCTGGTTCCCCTCCTTGTTTCTAAAACTTTTCATGGACTTGCTAATTGGAGCAGAAGAAAGTTCAAAATCAAATGTACATTAAAACTAAACTGACACTGAAATTATCTTACCTTGCATATTCTGCATCCCTAAACTACATCCAACTATAAATAAACATACATATTCCCCTAAATATCTTTCACTTTGCTTTATAGAATTGTATCATACCAAATATACATTTTCTAACAGGTGACTTCTTCAAAGATAATCTTCCAGAAGCAGATCTTTACATCCTTTCACTAATTCTACATGACTTGAATGATGAAAAGATTCACATATTGTTAAGCAAAATATCAAGTATTTGCAAACCAGGTAAGGGTTTTTCATCTTGTGGGTTTTTTTTTTAGGGTATGTCTGCACTGGCAAGTTTCTGCGCAACAAGTTATACCACTTTTATTAAAACGCTGTTGCATGTCCACACTGTGCTTCTTGTGACGCTGGAGTGCATCCACATTAGCAGCTCTTGCAACGGCAAAGAGAGCAGTGCATTGTGGTAGCTATCCTACTGGCCGCAAGGTGCTTTGGGAAGGGTTTGCAATGCCTCATGGGGCAGGCACAGCATCACATGATGCAGGTTTCCCAATTCCATTTTCCATGTGCATCCTACTACATTGCCAGCTGCTTTTCAACTGAAGTGGGGAGGGGGAGAGCAGTGTATGTGACGGTGTGTGTGTGTGTGTGTGTGTATGGAGGGGCGGGAGAGACTGTGTTTTGGGGGACAGAGCGTGTCTCAGCATGCTGTCTTGTAAGTTCAGACAGCGGCAGGAAGCAACCAGTCCTGAGGCAGGGGGAGAGGGAACCCCCGACATCAGACCCCGCCTCCCTCCCCAGCTCTCTGCAGAGCAGCCACTTGAGGGATTATGGAGGCCAGTTGAGTGCTTTCTGCACTGTAATGTGTTTACACAGCCAATACAGCGCTGGAGTCTCTGTGCTTTAAGGATTACAACTCTTGTTGAGGTGGTTTTTTTTGCAATGCTGCAACTGAGGAGTTTCTGCGCACTAAGTGGCTTGGCAGTGTGTACACCTCGGGAGTTACACTGCAGAAAGCTGCTTTACTGCGCAGTAACTTGCCAGTGTAGACAAGGCCTTAGTGTTTACAGTATAGTGCTTAATAGCAGAAGGATTTTATGGGTAGCAGTTTGCAATGACTGCAATTAAAGATAAACATGTCTGTCATCAATTTTTTCTTCCCCATCTTAAAATAGAAGCCTTTACAAATTGTGTTAGGCACAATATACTAAGAAGCAAAAAGTTATCAAGGCTGTCATTGTACAAAGGAACCATCAATTCACTTATTTATATTTAACTTCTAAATCTATCATTTATATAAAAATTTTTGATTGTCTGTCTCTCTCTCTCTCCCTCCCCCTTAGTGTGTTGCTTTCCACCATCGACCCTGAACCTGTAAACACTTACGCATATGCTTACATTAACTCATGAGAGTAGAGCCATTGAACTCAATGGGATTACTCATGTGCATAAAGTTAAATGTGCATAAATGTTTTCAGGATCAGGGCCCTTGATGGTAAACTCTTCAGGAGATGGGGGTGTGTGTGTGTGTGTTGCTTAGCATATTCTGGATGTTATTGGAATAAAAATAATGAAGTGTTCCTGAAATAGGAACCTCACATATGCCCAGAGCCATCCCTAGGGTCCAGCAAATCGAGGCGACCAGCCCCGGGCCTTGTGCTTTGGGGGGGCCCGCGCTTGGTTAGGAGGTGGGTGGGGAGGTGAGGTGGGGGAAAGGCGGGGGGCGAGGAGGAGCTCCCCCCCCACCCCCCTCTCCTCCCAGTGCTTCCTGTCAGCCGGCAGGCCCTGCCGATCAGCACCTCCCCCTCCCTCCCATTTCGCCACGACTGGAGGCGCTGCGGGGGAGGGGAGAGGAGCGAGGGTGCAGCACACTTGGGGGAGAGGGTGGAAGGGTGCAGAAGAGGTGGGGCGGGGGTGGGAAGAGGCGAGGTGGGGGGGGGGCCGGGGGGGGGGGGGGGGGGGGGGGGGGGGCTGGGGGAAGCACCCCCCTGGCAGATAGAAATTCGATGCCTATGTCCCGGGCCCTGCACTCCCTAGGGATGGCTCTGCATATGCTGTACCATACCCTACGTACAATATAAAAATACCAAAGGGAGGAGGGAACTATTTGTAGGACTGAGGAGGGCAAAGGTGATAACCAAATGATAACTGCATTTGCCAGTAGCTTTTCATGTAGGATGGAGAACAGGAGACATAACAAAAAGACCTTGCAAGCAGTGGAGGTAGAGAGCAGTAAGAGAAAACCCAGGCCGCTTGCTTCAAAGGACAGTTTGGAATACCTTGTGGCTAAATGTTGCCGCAAAGGAGTCTCTGTGATTGGCTGATGACATTTATAATGGGAGGCCTTAATGATATCATTAGCTGATAACTTTTACTTCAAGTAGTAACCATGCTGTTTGCTGAATCACCCCTGAAAACCAAAGGGAGGAATGCCTGCCTTCTCGTATGCCTTACTAACTTCCTAATCTAGCAGGAAATGGTCACTATAGAGGCCTTGAACCCTTTTCTATGAAATAGAATTACATCTGGGCTGTATGAAATACTTTAGGACAATTCTCCAACACCTTCATGTTTTATACCTTTAGAATAGTCTCTTGTTAGCTTGAGACAATGTGCTTTGACAGGGGATAAAATAATAGGTTGTTTCACAAATCAGAAAACTTAAGAAAACTCTGAAAGTTCCCTTATCCTCCTAGCATGAAATAACTACCTCTCCACTTCAGGGTGAGAAATGAAAGGGAAATGTTCTCCAGAGGCTCACACAGCAAACTCACTAACACATCAATCTTAGGTACACATCTTCCCCATTTATAATAGCATTTGAACCAACAGCATTGCAGTTTGGAAGCTAAGAATATTTTATTGAACCATTTTTGGTTGTTGTTTTGGAAACACAGGAAGTGCCTTGCTACTGGCAGAAATTGTGCTCGATGAAGAGAAGACACACCCTCCTAGAGCAGTATTACAGTCCCTCAGTATGACTGAAGGCAAGCAGAGAAGTGGCTCGGAGTATAAGCAACTACTGGAGAAATATGGATTCACCAATGTGCAAATTAAGATTACAGGAAACATTTTAGATGCGATTTTGGGCTTTAAGAAAACTTCTGCACATTAGTTTGCACTGCAAGTAAGTGTGGCACTGAGCTTTTGTAACTTAACTTTCATACAACCATCAACCAGCCATAATATGGATTGTTTTGTCAATTGCTTAGGTACAGTATGAACTGTGTATAAAGTTCTCTGGAAAATGGTCGAAAGCTGCAGGAATTTTCTTGCTCCTCAAGCAACTTATTCAGTAGTTACCAATCATTGCATTTGTCTTTACAAAAGTGCACTTTGTACAACTTTGGCAATTTTGGGGTGCTTTTTCCTTTTGCTCATTGGACTTAGTGCTTTGCTCAGAAGCAGAAGAGGGAAACAACCTTGAAATGCATGTTTTTGCAAACAGGAATAAAAAAAAGAAAAAGGTGGGATTTTCAGAAGTGTCTTAGGATCATAGGCAAGTGCCCCTTCGTCACTTAGGTGTCTGTGAAACTCCCACCCATAGCTGTCATGTCACAAGGATCTTTACTACTGTAGACTCAGGTCCTACAGTGACCATAATTTCACTGCAGCCTCTGTAGAGGCTGTCTTACAAGTGAATTGGCCACCCACACTCTCTCAAACTGAGAGCCTGAATGATACCACTCAAATACAGCTGTTCTCGAGAGGAGAGTCCATGTGGTAAAGGGTTAGATGGTGACATCCTCTTTCTGTCTTACAGTAACACCTCACTTAAAGTCATCCAGTTAACATTTCGTTGTTACTTGCCGATCAATTTGAGAACATGCTCGTTTAAAGTTACGCAATGCTCCTTTATAACGTTGTTTGGCAGCTGCCTGCTTTGTCCACTGCTTGCAGAAAGAGCAGCCCATTGGAGCTAGCTGGTGGGGGCTTGGAACCAGGGTGGACCGGCAGCCACTCTATCAGCTCCCCACTATGGCAGTCACCCAGCAAGCTATCAATTGCCGGGCAGTTCAGCTGTCCCTCCCCCACTGCCCTGTGCTGCTCCTGCCCTCTGACTTGGAGCTGCTCCCGCCCTCTGACTTGGAGCTGCTCCTGGGAGCCTCCTGCTTGCTGTGCAGGGGGAGGGAGGTGTTTGGGGGGGGAAGAGGGGTGCTAATGTCAGGGTGTTCCCCGCCCCCCACTTCTGACCCCCATCTCCATAGAGCAGGGTGGGGACAGGACAGGGCTCAGGACAGAGGGAGCTTGCTGGCAGCAGCTGCTGTCTCAACTTGCTGATCTACTTAAAAAGGCAGTGTACTTAGATTGGGGTCAGCATACTTAAAGGGGCAATGCGTGTCTTTCTCACACACACGGTGTGTGTCTCTGTCTCTCTCTGCCATGCTGTCTCCCCTCCCTCCATTCCTGCTGCCTTGTAGAGTGTGAGGCTACATTAACAACGTGTTAACCCTTGAGGGCTCAGCCGAGTGCTAGTTAATCATTTAGCAGTAAGGCATTCCCTGGGAAATATCCCACCCTCTGACTTCACCAAAATTTCCCTGGAACCTAACCCCGCCATTTACATTAATTCTTATGGGGAAATTTGATTCACTTAACATCTTTTCGCTTAAAGTAGTATTTTTCAGGAACATAATTACAACGTTAAGCAAGGAGTTACTGTATTTCCTTATATAAATACTACTGCTCTTCCCTTCTTTCCAACTCCATGCTGATAGAAGAGGAATATAGAAATGCCAGTTTTTCATGCTGTGATTTTTAATTGGAGGGATAAGTATATATTGTATGTTCAGATTATCAATTAATTTGTCACTCTGGTTTTCGCACTATTTCATGTGCTGTTTTTTCTAATAACTCTTCAATAGTGACTTTTTTTCATATAAAATATATTTTGCTAAACCTATAGTGGAACCCCTCCTGCCTGTAAATAAAGCTACTGTTTTTCATCTCTGGGAAGTTGTGCATTTACTGACTGTAGCAGATTTCTATAGCAATATCCCCACTCAGCCAGGACAAAAGAGGAGAGGCTGTACTTACACTCAGCTGCTGACATCAGCAACTTTCAAAGATTCGTTTAGCAAGGGCAAGAATTATATAGTTTTGTCTGGCAGAGTTTGTCTTCTCAAGTGCACCATAAATGTCTGTCATTAACATAATTACTTTTCTCTTTCAGCACTGAGCAGGGTAAAGGGGCCCGGATGAGTTAAATTATCAATGAGGGACATATTTATTACAATATGTTTCAACCATGCAAATTCATCATGAAAATGTGTCACCCTCTACTTACCCATGTTTTCCTATAATAATAATGATAATTTTTATTTACCTGTAGCAGTTTCTTGCCCGGATGAGTAGAATTTGGTAAGGCTGTATATCCAGCTACTGAAAACTAAATAAACTAAAAACAAGTTTCTCTCTGTTTTGGTACAAAAAAGGTCTTTTTCTGCTTTTAATTGGTCTGCATTAAAAAAGATAGCATTATTATTTCAACAGATGGAAGTTTTACTGTTTGATTCTGTCTCACCAAGCATGTGACTGATTTACATAAGCTGTAGAACTATCATATTCTACCATACCGTCAAATTAATGTTATGCCCTCTGATTATTGTATACTCACTTATTGTTTTTCAAACTTTTATAGAATACAATTGACTAAAACATAAACTCAGTGTCTTAAACTAGAAAAGCACAACATTATATATTTACTCCACATTAATCCCTTGAGGCTGGGTGTCTGCATTAACTTTAACTTTGCAAAATTAGTTGGGGGGAGGGGGGTGAAGCTTACCTTTTGAAAAGTCCATATAAGACATGCATCTGAAGCAGCTGTTGAAACAAATAACATTCTTTGTGAACCGGGACAGCTAAAATCATTTTCGCTAACTGGTTTTGAATGTCTCACAAAGGGTGGCTAATGAGCTGCAGGAGAATGTGCTTTGCTCAACAGCGGGTGTCTCTGTGCTGTTAGCTTGTCTCCAAACTATTTCAGAGAGATTTGCTGACATGCGGGAAAGATCAATGCTGTATGTCTTTCAGAGAGCAGAGGGGAAAGATATTTGCAACGTTTTCACTTGCTGTTGACAGGCCTATTCCTTCCACTGTCAAGACTCCCACTGAGTTCAGTGGAAGTGTAGCGTGTGCAAGGAATTCAGAGCTGGGCAGGGCAGGGAGAGGAGTTTATGATCATTTTAAATACTACAGAATTACTGGGAGAGTGATAGACATTCCGAATACTAGACAGACCAATAATCTGATTTTATAAAGGTACAAACATTAATAGGCCGCTTCCCTGGACAAAATTCGTTTCTATTCACTATTGTTATAATGACTGGGTCTTAAAGTTTCCTTATTGAAAAAACTGTCTGAACAATGTTTTAAGTCAAGGATAATTTTGAGCCATTAAAATTAATTATCCAAATCTGCATAATCTTTAATGAGAGATTATTTTGTATCATCCAGATGTCTGAACTGTTGCCAGTACTAAAGTCCACTTGTTCACTACTTGCTGTTTGGTGGTAGGCTGCTTCACAGTAGTAGGAATGCCCATGTTGATATCAGGACCTCCACCCACTGAAATGAATGTAACTGGGTTTGTGTCTGCGTGTCTGATTTCATATGCATGAGAGGATGTTCATATGAATTCAGTTCACTTATCAGAAGTTCATCAACACTTTTATTTGAATGTGGGATCATTTACGGATGTCTGTATAAACGGCATAGAGGAAGTCCAGACAAATCAGGTAATGGAACTGTTATGTCTGAGAGACCAAGTAGATCACCAAATGAATGTAAAAAGGTATAAAATATTGGGGATTAAAAGGTCAGTAGACACAGGGAGGGAAATAAGAGAAAAGAGAGCTCAGATGCTCACTCACTGAATGATAAGCTGAGAAGAATCCTTGAGGGCTGGGGGGGATGTAAGACAAAGAGTTTTGTTTGGATTTTTTCCCCCTGACCCAATAGAAAAATGGCAGCCCTAGCACTCTCACTACAGATATTAACCTCTTTCTGTGCCTGGGAGAGCAAAGGGGCTGTGGTGTGGCTCAATATGAGCCCCAAGTGCAGGAGTTTAGGCAGTGTTGTCTAAAGGCTGTGCCCCCTCATCCTCTTCTTGGCTGCCAGTTTCGTTTTGGATCAGTTTGTCGTTGTCCTAGGATGGAGCAGGGGGGCTTCCAGGCTCCCTCATTGCATCCCCTGCTGTCTTTCCACCATGATGGGTTGTTAGGAGAGGCACCACCTCCTCCCTGACCTTTCCCATGTCTCCAGCTGTCTTATTGGGGATGGAGTTAAGGACTCCATTTCTGAGGCAAAGTGTTGGGGTTGGTCAACTACAGAGCAGGTTTGTGGCTGGGGCCTAGGCAAGCCCCACCTCCCCCTCCTCATATACTTTCAAGCCTTGCCTGCTGAGAAGCACTCTAGCAATAGCAGCATCCCTGGCCCACAGAACTTTATCAATGGGCCTAAACCTACTACCATGGAAGTCAATGGGAGTTTTGCCATGTTATACTTGAAGTGAGGATTAAATTGGTTGATGGAGGGAGCGGGGGGACACTAGGTAGCAGCAATAACGTCCCTCATTTTTGAAGTACTCCAACCACCAGGAGTTGAAGACTAGGTTCATGGTTCCAATTGAGCCCATTTGATGGAGAGAGAGAGAGAATGCGTACAACATTGCCCTTGCAGCCTATTAAAATAAATGAGGATTAGGGGTAATCTGTAACAAGATTAGTTGCCATTCTTAGAAATGAGAACATAATCTGCAGTGGCCCTGACACACAGGTCATCTACTTTTACTTGAAGCATTTATATTGTGCAACACCAGACTTACCTTTTTCTCTTTCCCCCACCCACTGCCCTTCCATTGCAGTCACTGTGTAATATATGGGCCCATTGCTATTTTCCCATGTTCTTATGCTATTCTAAATGGAAGCCCTTGTGTATTATTGCTGCCTTGCTGCAAGAACTTTTAAAATTAATTTTTATAGGGCTATCCTATACATGTTTCTACCTCTGATTTCTCTCTGCAGCTTTCAAAACATACAATGCATGATTCACTGCTGCGTCACTCCTGTTTTATAGCAATGTAATTTCATTTGAGTTACACCAGTGTAGAATTGGGCTAATGCAAGGACCATTTACAATCATTTCCTCCTGACCTGCAAAGAGATCAAAGAACCTCACCTAGTATTGTCTGCTTCTATAAGGATAAGGATGACAAGCCTTGAACCCAAGTTAAATTCTGTCTAAGCCTTTCTCAAGGATCGACGTTCCTACTGTAAAATACTCCTTACCTATAGTTGTCTTTTTTTTCTTTTCTATGCTAATCATCACTTGCTCTCTGTAAGGTATATGGGCATCCTTCCCAGACTGGCCGTGTTTAATTCCCCTGCATATGTTTTGTCCACGTTGTGTTCATGGCATTCAGATGTCCCTAATGTTTGAGTGATTTGCTGTAGCATATTAGTTGCCTTGCTATTCATGTTTTCCTTGCAAAGTGTCCAGGGAGGACCCTTCAACTGTTTTAATATAAGGCTGGCGCAGTGGCCTAGAAGTGCTAGCCTTGCTTTGCTCCACATAGCAACACTTGCAGTGTGAGCAGGAGCAGCAGTTCTGCCTGTGCAGGTGGAGGAAAGTTGCTGGGATGGGAGGGGAAAAACATCCTAATACAGAATCTGTATGTATTCAGGTTGTATGACCAAATGAGCATTCACTTATTTCAAAAGGTGTAAATCTGCCTCAGTTATATAAAGCTAAATTCTCTGCTGGTGAGAATTTGGCATGCTGTATGTACACTCTGTAAGGCAGGGTTTGGGACAGAGGACTTTATCCATTCCCAGCCAAAAGGAATTTCATGTCTTCAGCTGATTTATTGTATTATTTATTGAACTCCAGCAATATGCTCAACCCTTGACAGAAAGGGGATTAGGTCCCCATAACCCATACATCAGAGCTCTGGGCCATCCACAAAGAAGCTATATGCCTCTCAAAGCTTCTCACCTGCCAGTAGGAGCCATACTGTCATGAGTGCCTCTGAGGTAATCATCGCAAGGGGCAGAACATAGATATGGGATTTGATTCACTGTTGTCCTGCACCTTGTGCAGGCATTTATATCGGTACAAAATGAGTGTAAAATGTTACCTCTTGGTCTGATTTGTTAGCATTTTACACCCACTTTGCACTGATGTAAATGACTGCACAGGGCAGTGGAGAAGAGCAAGTAAAATAATGTTCATTTGGTCAGCATTCTCTTACTCTGATATTCCCTACTGGGTGGAAGAGGTAGGAAGATGCAGTGGAAAATAGCATCACCATTGTCTCTTCCCTCTATTCTCACACCTGGGCCTTCCTCACCTCAAAGAACCCTATCCCCATGGAAGAATTGTGGAGGGGCTTCTGTAGGATTGTCACTTTCTATGTTTGGATAGTGCCTAGTACAATGCTCCCCATCCTTAGTCCTCCAGTTGTCCTCTGAAGATTACTGCAATATAAATGTAAATAATAGTTTTTTTAAGAGACGATAGGGACAGTGAGTGACACTGAGGTTGTTATACTTATAAGTCGCACACGGGATCTTTTATAGAGGAGAAGGCAAATATGCCGCATTTATTGAAAATACAACAGTTAGCATATGCTTTACACACACACCAGTTGATGTTTATAGTTACCAGTCTGTTGTAGCCTGAGTCAATCTAATGGCCAGTTAGATTAAGCATGAGTGAGGAGCTGGGCTCTGTCGGTCGCGATCCAATGCTTTGCAGGACTGAACCCAAAGTTCCATGGCAAAACACCCCAGCTTTATAGTTGTAAATTCCCATTTGAGTCCATGCATTTTGCAATGTCATCCTGTAATCATTAGTCCTTAAGTGGTGTTAATCTTGGGGTTTTCTGCTGTTATCATTTGATGGTTATTGTCCGGCTTCCCATCGTTATCTCCTAGTTGTTGTCTTGCCTTCGGGGGTGCCTGCCTCACCTCTGAGGTCGTCAATGCTGCTAACATTTTTGGCATCAGATACAATGGATGTTTTCTGTTTGTCTCCTGGTCTTTCCAAGTCTCTCACTTTTTCTTGATCATCTGACATTTGTGATGGCTTTGATACCTCATCTTTTCCTGATGCATGCATTCCTCATTCACACAATCTCTTACAAAAACCTTCAAAGGTATACAGACAGCAGTATTTTATATTCAGCAGAATACAGTGTAAATCAAGCCTTGCTAAATCTTACAACTAAAACAATTCACATTGTGGTTCAGGCCCTCAACATTTTTCTAATCTATTTATCATAGACAATACAAAATCCTGTCTCTTATTTTCTAAACCTTAAAACAAAGAAATATACTTAACTAGAGTGCCTAATTTGTAATACATATAGGAAACCATAGTAGACATTATAATTTATCCTAAAACAAAAGGGTGACCGTAATCAGTCATAAGGATTGTTTTGGTCTGTCATTCCTTTCTGCTATTCAAAAAGGGTGGCTGGCAGGATGAAATCAAATCATACATTAATTCTCATAGTACAATTATAAAATCCTGGTCCTAAAGGTGGCATTACCCCTATTTCTTCCGCACAAACACACCCCAACCCAGGTCCACCAGATCTGAGCCCACCTCTCACGGAAACAGAGGTGATCTAGCCCGATGGTATGTGTCCCCTGGATCTTGTGAAAGAGTGGCATTGTTTTCTCTACAAGGAGCTAATGTATACAGTATGTATATACTCATTTTGGTCTAGTAACTTGAGAGTACATCTGAAATGCAAAATTAGACCACTAGTATTATTTTTTAAGCAATTTTATGTGGCCGTTGTAATTTTTCTTAATTTGATCACAGATTAGTATTATGGGGTTTTTTTTTGTTTGTTTAAATTAGGCTGTGGAATTTTGCTGGCTAAAATGGTGTTGGATGATGAGAAGAAAAGAAGGGGCACAGCTTTGCTGCAGTCCTTGAACATGCTTGTCCAGATAGATGGAAAGGAGAGGAATAGCTCCGAATATAGATGTTTACTGGAACACCATGGCTTCACAAATGTAGAAATTAAACTGACAGGAAATGTGTTTTGTTTTCTGCACTAAGAAATAAAGAAATGTTATTTGGCAATAAAAACCAGAACACATCAGCAATCGCATCTGATGATTTTTATTATAGGATTGGTTTCCCATCAACAGCTTATGCAAGAGATATGTGACTTTGGAAGCTTTCTGAAACTACTTCAATAATTGAGAGCGATTATATCCATTCCGAAATGTGAGTAAAATGCCAGAAGCAGGGCTGGCTCCAGGCACCAGTGAAGGAAGCAGGTGCTTGGGGTGGCCAATGGAAAGGGGCAGCATGTCCGGGTCTTCAGCGGCGGGTCCCTCAGTCCTTTTTGGAGGGAGGGACTGACCGCCGAATTGCCGCCGAAGAATGAAGCGGCGCGGTAGAGCTGCCGCCGAAGTGCCGCCCATTGTGGCTTTATCTTTTATTTTATTTTTTTCTTTGCCGCTTGGGGCAGCAAAAAAGCTGGAGCCAGCCCTGGCCAGAAGCTACCCTCTTCACTTGGCAGCAGTAATGCTCTGTCTTCATTGAATTGCTAGTACTTTTTAAAGTTACCCCATAATCAGAAGACATACCAACAGTCATACAATAATTTTGGCATTGCTAATGAACTACTTTGTTGCTTTGTGTTGTGTAGGCTGGCCTTATTTCTAGACCAGAACATGCTGCTGTTCCCACCCAACTCTCTCCCTTGGATGTTAGTGCGGCTCTCCATGTTCTTCTTCAAGTGTTTGCTCATGTCAATTCCATTCTAGATGTGTACACACACCCCACCATATTTTTATTTTAAAAACCTAATAAATTCCATACAAAACATATTAGAAGAAGTTTAAGTTGCATGCTTAAGCCTCAGAACGGGTTTTTGTTTTCCTTTTTCGGTGGGGAAGAGGAGTTGGGTGGAAAATGCCAATTTGATTAAATCAAAACTTTTCATGGGTATGTATCAGTTTCAATTAAATTTTCACTGGAAAAGGGTTCATGGTCCAGGATGAACTTTCTAGTTAAAGTATGTGTAGGTTCCCCTCCCCCTACCATAGCCAATATCCAAAGGGTTTTCAAACTGGGGGTCGGGAGCCCTCAGGGGGTTGGGAGGTTGTTACATGGGGGGTCATGAGCTGTCAGCCCCCACCCCAGACCCCGCTTTGCATCCAGCATTTATAATGGTGTTAAATATATTTATAAGTGTTTTTAATTTATAAGGGGGCGGGTCGCACTCAGAGGCTTGCTATGTGAAAGGGGTCACCAGTACAAAATTTGAGAATCACTGCAATATCCCAATTGTTAGGGGATTTAGCTGTGAAGCAGAAGTTGCAGGTTCAGGTCCCTGCTCTGCCTGAAAAAGGTTGCATGTGCCACCCTTGTGCATGTGTATTGATCCAGCAGCAACTAAATCTGTATGGGCACTGGAGTCTGCTCCTGTGAATTTAGTTATAAGAGCAGGTCCTAAAATAGCATATAATTTCCTTAACATTCTTAGATGCATATAGAGCATCTTGTTATATGACACTTTAGGATAAAAGGGCACTGTCATTTTGAAATGTAGTCAACTACATAAATGAGTTAACAGTTGTTTCATGGGCTGCAATTTTTGTGGTTATTCAATCATACTTTCCTGGTTTTAATTTTTTTTTCTTTGTTTCATGTTGTATGAAAGGTCAACACAAAGGACAGGTAAAAATTATTAGAGGGAAAAGAAATAAACTAGCTATACACAAAGTGCTGTCGAATGCACAGCTGAAAAAATAACGTTTTTTTTTTGTCTAATCTCTTTCAGATATAACCTAATTTTACATGTTACTTTTAAAAATAGGTATAATGTCAGACAGAAGTGTGGCTTGTAAGTTTGCAATATACTTTCAGCATAGAATAAAGAGGAACATGGGAACTGATAGCATGTACAGGGTGCATAAGTTTGCAGTAAAGGCCCAGCCCTGGTCTACAGTAAAAACTTATGTCAGTATAACTACATTGCTCAGGGCAACGCAATGACACCGACCGAACTCCCAGTTTAGACAGCGCTATGTCAACGAGAGGGCTCCTCCCGTCGACACAGCTACTGCCTCTCGGGGAAGTGAAATACCTACGCCGATGGGAGAAACACTCCCGTTGGCATAGGCAGCATTTTCACTAAGCACTACAGCAGAGCAGCTGCACCGGTGCAGCTGTGCCGCTGCAGGACTAAGTGTAGACAAGCTCTATGGAGGCAGATCTCTACTGCCATGTAGAACCCACTGTGTTGTTTTATATTCAAGTAATCCACAAGTCTTAATAATAATTCATTGCTAGTAATTTAACAGTCTTTATTACCTACATTGTTAACATATATACAGAGCATTTTAACTCCAGGCAATCTATCAGCCTAACCTAAAATCAACTGCTTCATCCAACTGTCAGTTCCCACACCATGAAGAATCTATTCATTCTCTTAAAACCACAGTAACACCACACCCACACCAAGTTCACTGCAGGTCAAACCCGTAAATTAGCTTTCTGAGTAAGTGTCTCATCTCTGAACTGCACTGAAGAAAATATTCACAGCTCACCTAGCTTCATAGTCAACTGGATCATCCTCTGAATTGAATAACTTTGCTGATAAAGCATATCAGATATATAGTTTACTGCCTCACCCCTGAATTGTATCTAAAGCTGTGCTGGTGGTGGAAAAGAAAATGTATATACTACATGGTTGCTGACAAAACTATTAAATTGCATATCTTAGAAAGAAAAAAGGTTATCAATTGCAAAGTATAATTTAATACATATGTGGCCTTTATGACAATTAAATTAATGTAGGTATTTAATGTTATAGAAAAGATTGTCTACTGTATTTTTTTAAATAATGTGATTAAAGATTGCACCACAACGTACAGGCACAAGAAGAAAGAATTAACGTTGCATGTGCAACCTTAACATTTAACTGTGCAGCCTCACCAGTCTCACAATGAAGCATTTTTTTTTCAATTAAATAAATACATAACATGATTCTCAGATTTCTCATGTGGCCATTTTGTTAAAAAATTATATTTTAACCTTTGGTGACACCGAAAGGCATGGGCAATGACAACTATAATGAGGCAGAAGAGCCATGAAGACAAAAGGAGGAGCAAATGGGAAGCTGTATTTTTTTTTCTTTTGGCATTAAAATGCTTCTCTACTCCATCTGTTGCCCTTTAAATCAATGGGGCTGGTCAGCGTGGGTAAGGCTGGCAGAAACGGGAGCTACATAAATAACCGAGGAAGGATTCCTAGCCCGTTTAACGTGAGATTAGAAGCAGCCAGCGCGTTGCTAGCTGCGCTGTCACTCTGTTGAGACAGCAGCGTTTCAAACGGAGAGATGGAGAAAATGCACATCTGGCGGACGAGGGAAGCAGCTGCAAATCAGCCACGTAAGCCGCCTTCCCCGTGTGCCACACTACGGCAGAGGGCGCCCAGCGGCTTGTGAAATGCGGCGCTGATACGGACACCTACCGAGGAGGAGCAGGTGCCTGCCGGGCAGGGAGGGGAGCGGGCAGGACGCGGCAGCCAGGCCGGAAAGCTGGGCTCTAGGCGCCAGGGCGGTGCTGCATTAGGGCGGGAGTGAGCGGGGCCGGTGTCTGCCAAGACTTGCCTGTCACCAGCTCCAGCCCCAGGCCGGGGAGCGCGCGCGGCGGGACAGGGCTTGCGCCGTCAGGTTGAAACAGAGACGTCACAGCGAGCGCGCGACGCGGCCGGAAGCGGGGGCCCGAGCAGAACTGCAGGGCGGCCCCGCCTCTCTGCAGCCGGGCGGCCAATGGCGCGGCGGGGGCGGGCCCGGCGGGCTCGGGCGTTTAGCGCATGCGCGGAGATGATCCTGCCTTTTTTTTTCTCTGTGCGTGGCTGTTGCGGTGGGTTTTTCCCCCAGCGGCTCCCGGCTCAGCAAGAACATGGCGGAGCAGGCCCTCTCCTTCGCCAAGGACTTCCTGGCGGGCGGCGTGGCCGCGGCCATCAGCAAAACCGCAGTGGCGCCTATCGAGCGGGTCAAGCTGTTGCTCCAGGTCAGCAGCGCGGGAGCCTGAGGGAGGGCGTGTGGCCGGGGCTGAGGCGGGAGAGAGGAGGGGCAGCGGCGCGTGACCTCTCGTCACACAGCGCGCGTGCACTAAAGGGCGCAAGGCGCTGAGCACGCTGTGGACCCAGCGCGCCTGTCTCGCGCCTTTGCCGCCGCAGCAGCAACGGGCTTGGGAGCTCGTTCGCCCCAGCCAGTACTAGTAGCCGGTTACTAGAGAGGGTGGAGGTCACGTGGAGGGAGGGCGCGCGAAGGAGCGGAAGCCACTTCTTCCGCTATGCGACGCGATTGTAGGAGGGGCCTGGCGCGCGAGGAAGGCGCGTTGGGCGGGGTTGGTGGGGGGTGTATGTGTGGAGGCGGCTCGCTGCGTCCCACTCCCAGCGAACTGCTGGCGCCCGCTCGCTGGCGCTGACGCGGCCACTCCTGTCGTATTGTGACAGTCACGTGACGGCGGGTGGCGCCAGACGTTTGTTCGTCGGGGGGGTGGGGGTTCGGCAGCCAGCGACGGACTCCTCCCCTGCCCCGTCGGAGCCCTGGCGGCGCGTGGCCTGGCCGGGCCCCCGTCGCCATGGACACTCCTCCTGAGGGCCGCTGTGGGCGCGCGCCCTTAGTTCCTCCCCCTCCTCCCGCGCGCTGCCTGGGGGAGCGAGTCCAATGGCCGTTTGCGGGACCGGTGACCTCGGCGCGCCCCTGCCGGCCGCCCGGTGCTCGCCGCGCGCTGCGGTGTTTGCCGGGGAACGGCCTCTGGGTGTCGGGTTTGGCTTCGTTGGGATCCAGGGCCCCAGCCTGGGGCCGATCGCTTCGCCCCGGTTCCTCCGCCCCCAGTCGGGTCAACAACGCCGGCCTGAGGCACCGGGAAATTAGCGATGGGGCCATATAGCTACCCGGGAGACTGACTGGGGGGGGGGCGGCTCCCTTTATTTGAAGTTAGTCGCTTACGTTAAATGGTTCAACTAAAAATCTCATCTCGAACATTTGATTTTCAACATTGTGAGATCATCACCCAGGTGCGAGTTTCCCCAGTTATCAGTCTTCCAGGCGGCGAATCTGTAGAAAATTCT